AAGGCACTTTCGAGACCTAACCTGCGTACCACAAGAACCACAGGTGTCATTACATGGAACCGTGATGCTCCATTCACCCCATATTCCTAAAAGTAAAGAACTATAAGCAAAGGTTTCTTTGCGAGAATGATGTGTGCATATCGTTTGATATCCATTTCCTCTTTCAAGGAAGCGCTAGACAATTAGACGTCAGTTTATTGATCAAATTTATCACGGTTGGAGGGCACAGCTTGGGCTTCGCCCGGTTTGCATCTGCGATAGTCACGTCATATTGCGAATGCAGAACTCTGCTACGAGAAGACACTACCACTTCATGTAGATTTTATTAGTTTCGTAGACACCATGTTGAATTGGAAACGAAACTTCGAAAACATAATGGAGCGTCCATCTTGCATTAGAATCAAAACTTTGAAAGTTATGTTATGATTCAACATCCTCGTCGCGGAGATGAGCATTATATGAGATCGCCACCATCGTAGGGGCAGCAGGCAAACCGAAGCTAAGTGCGTCTGGCGCAAGACTAATCGTCGTGGATTTGACCAAGAGAGCGAGATCCAACCACTAGCACTCCTTCGGCGAGAGGGCTCAGGTATCAAACGCCGGCCTCCTTCGAATATACTTGGCAAAATTATATACTGGTAAGCAACCTTGCGTTGGGCAACAGTTGACTCCACAAGTGTTAACGTACGGCGGATCTGCGGGGGGAGGAGGCTGAATGGCAATGATGCATTACGTAGCCGGAAATCTCAAAATTGCCGAGTTTGATTACCTGTGGTCCACAGGAGTGTTTTCCGTTGATAATGGTTGATTCAAAGCCTGGACAACATGACAACCTTGGGTAATAGCAAACTTCAATGTTGCACGGAGCCGTAACTGTACTAACCCCGCTAAAGAGAGGCTATTTAAATTGCTTCTAAATAAAAGTTTTCAGCAACATACTTGCATGGACAGCCGTTAGCCTCTGATAGGCATGTTCTCGTTTTTGTAGTGTTTCCGCATGAACCGCAGTAATCTGCGCATTGGTTTGGAGTTTCAGTCCATTCTGACCATACTCCATTTTCCGGACAACATGTATTATTGCAGTAGGGATCGTAAGGAACCAGCGGTGTCGTATAGTTTGGCTATAATCGAGAATGCCACCCATCATCTAGAAGAAAATTTAGATATCTTTAGCAAGAATAGTTTGCCTGAGGTCCGCATGCATGTTTTCCGTCTATAACCGTAGAAGTATAGGGCGAACAACAGGAATCGCGGGGATAGTAGCAGACGCCAATGTTGCAATTCTTTTGACGCGAAGATGGCCCTCTCAAAATGAACTTATTATATTCTTCGAAATGCATATACGGTATTACCTGCATGCGCATCCCTGAGCTTCTGTAAGGCAGGTACGCTGCTGTGTAACCTGGGCGCAGGAACCGCATGTATCTCCACAGGTCCCTCCTTCTGTCCATTCTGACCAGTAGCCTCCAGAGGGCGGACAACACGTCCAGCAGAAATCCGATGCAGGCGGACTGTTGTCATCCTACAAATTCGGCTTATCATTATGAATTTCCTATCTTGTAAGCTTCTTACCATTTTCGAGCACTGGAAGGTTTTTTGCGCAGATAATACTTTCGTACGATTTCCACAACACGATGCACGAGGATATAGGCATGGTGTTGGTGCACATTCTGCGCTCTTTGTGCTAGGTCCTCTCAAATAATGTCATTTTTTGCTACATATAATGGGTCAAGTCTCAGAAGCATTTCTTTTCAGCTTACGAGCATGGGCATCCGAATTGCTGCGATATGCATCCTCTTATGCGCGTTGTTGTTCCGCAATAACCACAAGTGTCAGAGCAAGTGTTTCCGCTGGACCATTCACTCCATACACCTCCTATCACACAACAGCTCCCATTTTCGCACTTTGGTAGTTCTGGTATAGCAGGTACAGTTCCCTGTATGGAATCGTTAGTGAGGGCGTAAAGATTTTGAAGCAAAGGACGTATACCAGAGGACCGCAAATTTTTAATCCGTTCTGGTCCATTAAGCTAAACCCAGAGCAGCAGGTGTTGTTGGACTTTGTGCAGGGCGCAGTATTACAAATAGTAGTCATCTCGTCTGAGCCCCTAAAAGCAGTGACAAAGGATGAACAGTGAATAATTTAAACAAGATGTGCAATAAGTCGTGGTAATTGCAATTAATAGTAATATGCTGGAACATTACGTGCAAATGCATCCGTTTTCGCCATTGCATTTTCTAATCCTTCTCTCATAATCGCATGATCCACAAGAGGTTGTGTTACAAGACATTACCACCTTAAGAGAAACATATTATGTTTAGATCTAAATATTTGTTTTAGAAGATGACAATCCCTTACGGTCCACTCGCTCCATGTCGCCATCACAACACAGCTTTGCGTCTCTTTACTATCTCCAATACAAGAACACCCATAAGAATCTGATGCACAGCTTCTAGTTCTTGTTGCTGTTCCACACTAAACCTTCTAGTTAATAAATCCTCAGTGGAAAACACAAGAATGTCCGCATCAAAATATAGCGATATTTGGAGCACCTTGAAACAACCAGCACCAATACATCCGCTCCATTCACCCCAATCTGCCCAGAATCCGTTTGTTGGGCAGCATGAAGTATCAGTCGGAGGTTCGGTAATATTTGGCTGAATTAGGTTTCTTAAGCGAAGACATCTTTGAAATTTTCGTAAACCGCACTTGAGGGCCACAAGCATGTCGTCCGTTAATGACAGTTGACACGTATGGGGAGCAACAGGAGTCGCGAGGATAATAGCAGACACCAATGTTGCAATTCTCAATTTTGACGTCATCTCCACTAAAAAATGTCACTCCACCCAAGAATTTGAGTAAACATATCAATTATGGAACACATGAAAGTTGCGTGAATGTCCAAAAAATATTAGAAAAGAAGTATATACATTTATAGCATACCTGCAGGGGCATCCATCACTTTCTGTCAGGCACTTGCGACGATACACCAATTGAGCGCATGAACCACAAGTGTCCGAGCAGTTTTGAGAAGTGGCCCATTCACTCCATAGTCCAGTTGTTGGACAGCAATGAGAAGGGCGAGTGGTAGTAGATGGAAGCGTAATAGTGGAGGGCACGAATGTTGTATGAGTACTTGGAATTGTTGTAACGGAGCTGCTCATAGGGACTATCGTTGTTAAAGTACTTGGAACCGTTACGCTGCTCGTAGGAATAGTCGTAGTGCTTGTTGGTACGGTTGTTGTAGAAGTACTTGGAACCGATGTGGTGCTCGTTGGAACAGCTGTAGTGCTTGTTGGAACTGTCGTTGTGGAAGTGGTTGGCACAGTTGTGGTGCTCGTTGGAACAGTCGTC